CGTATCTCGAAAAATTCGTAAGTAGGGGCGTTCATAAGTAGAGGTAAATTTTTGGGGCCGGAGCTGGTCGTATCTCGAAAAATTCGTAAGTAGGGGCGTTCATAAGTAGAGGTACCACTGTATTACCACTATCACTCCAAGCTATCATTCTGAGGTGCATTCTCTAAATGTAAGAAGAAGATGCAGCTGATCAGGCCAAAGATCCATCTCAGCTCTAAACAAGAGGTGGGACTACATCTGGGTTGCTGCGAGTTGAAGTCCAACCCATTTGGAAGAGGTCACCTAACCTCCCTGATTCTAGATTCTCTTTCGACAAAGGTCAACTGCAGTTCCAATCATCTTCCCTTCTCTGGAAGAAAGCAGAGAGAAACAGCAAATCTGCATCAGTAGCAACATCTGATCCTGGGAAGTTCTACTGATAGTAGTACTCCTAGTGTCCTGAGGGAGTGTTATTTTGATATAGCGTGGAGTAGGAATTGATGCTGAGTCTCTTTCTTCTCTTAGTGACTGGAAGGGGCTGGAAGGGGCAATTCAGTGCTGGGATGCTGGACCCACGCTAAATGCCCAGTGGCATGAACCCATGTTTCCAGTCCAGGTGGTAGACGTGGCTTTTGTCTAAAATGGGGGGGGGGGTTGTTTGTTTTAGGATTCCCCTTCTCTCTCCAAGCAGATTTTCTGTGCTAGCATCCTTGTGCCCCATCAAGGCCTGGATAAAGCATCCTTCAGGGCACTGAGAAGAGTTGGGGCAGAAATATTCTCCAACATTGGTCTCATTTTCCCCCCAAATCCCTCTCCCCTCTCCTCCCCATTCTTTGCTGAGACATGTCAGCTCACCCATACCCCTCTTCCTTCCAGGGAAGGCCACATGTCTCTGGTCAGGGAGATGAAAGAGCAGATGGCCTCCAAACCTGGAGCACTGGCACTCTCTGTTGGAGGAGGAGGCATGCTATGCGGAGTGATCCAAGGCCTGCATGAAGTGGGCTGGGATGATGTGCCTGTCGTTGCCTTGGAAACCAAAGGAGCTCACAGTCTGAATGCTGCTTTGGCAGCTGGGAAGCTGGTGACACTTCCTCAGATTACCAGGTAAGCCTGTGAGATGGTCCTTTACCATCCAGTATATGCAGTCCTTGCTGAGAATTGGGGCTGGATGTGGCACTCTCTTCCCTAATTCAGAATGGCTGCATTCATACAAACTACTGTACCAGTTGATTGATTGAGACCCTTTTCTGGTCTGCACGGGACATTGTGCCGGCCACAGGAAGCCAAAACCAAACGAACCCCAACAGGGTTGAGTATCAAGGGTGAACCCTCTGTCAATGAGGCTGATCAATATGGTCTCTATCTTAAAGTGTTGGAGGAGCTCATTGGGGTTTATTCAATAAATGGTTTAGACAAACCATGGTTTGGTGCACTAAACAAGGCCACTACAACACTCTTCTTCCCTTCTGGATTCAGCGTTGCTACAACTCTGGGGGTGAGCATCGTGGCAGCAGAGACTCTGAAGCTGGCTCAGGAGCACCCCACTTTATCAGTGGTGGTCACGGATCGAGACGCAGTGGAAGCTGTTGAGAAGTTTGTGGGTATGTAGTATAGCTTCTAGCACACCCAACCTATCTCAGTCTCTCTGTCATTATTTCTACCTCTATCTCCATCTCCATCTCCATTTCCACCTTCACCTAAAGCTCTATTTCTACTTCTTTCTACTTCTACTTCCACCTCCACCTCCAACTCTACCTCCATCTCCTATCTCTATCTCCATCTATCTCTATCTCTATCTCTATCTCTATCTCTATCTCTATCTCTATCTCTATCTCTATCTCTACCTCTACCTCTACCTCTACCTCTACCTCCATCTCTACCTCCATCTCTACCTCCATCTCTACCTCCATTACAACTCCTCTAAATCCCAATCTTTCCTGTCAGTGGAAAGAGATGTTAACAGTCAAGGGGGGTCCCCAAGGCTCTTCGAAACACCAAACTATATGGAGGAAATTGGGAGGGAATTTAGCACGGTCAGCAACCATAAACCCTGTGTATCTGTTCTGAGGGAAGTGGAAAAGAAGCTGAAATGGAGTGTCCTAAAAAAAAAAAAAAGATGACATGCCTGTCACACTGGCTGGAATCACCCAAGCTGTGGAGCTGTAATGAAGGTCAGACTTGTGATACTAAACTCAGTATTCAGAGAGATCATAGGAGATGTTCCCTCCCCTCTCACCTAGCATGCAGACGAGGTGAGACGGGCATCGGTCTATCTATCCTTGCATACAGCTTCAACCCACCTTACATCCAAAAATTGAAGTTGGTATGTGCAGTTCTCTTCAGCAAAGACATCTCAACACTTTAGCCATGCTAGCCAAAAACCTGTGACCTGCTGAATCTAGGGCAACTCCATTTGGGCTGCAAAAATCTAGACAGCCCTAGACTGCAGCAGAGACTTGGAGTTCTTAGTTTGCTGGCAGCTAGTGGTCATCTGTGAATCTCGTGGCATGTTGACCCGGGGAATTAAAAATAATGTCTGGATTGTGCAGCAAAATATGGCAGGTTTTCCCTCACAGGAGTACCTTTCTTCAAGGTGTCAACTTTTGGGATACTCCATTCCAGCATAGATAATTATTTTATTTCTTGGTGGCCCTCCTTTCAGCTGTAATCCTGTTGTCACCCACTCTCTGAGTTCTCTGTTAGGTGAGTCTACTGGAACTGAGCTATAACCCATCACTAGAGGGCAGCAAAGAGCAATAAACCCATTCTTCATGGCCATCTAGTGGCCAGATTTAATGGCCCTAGATTTACAGTGATGCTGAAACTGTGGAAATCAATTTCCTCTTCTCCTCGCTGCATTCAGCAGGCTAAAGAACTATTTTTCCACCACTCACAGATGATGAGAAGATCCTTGTGGAGCCAGCTTGTGGGGCTGCCTTGGCCGTTGTCTACAGTGGGGTGGTCCAAAAGCTACAAGCAGAAGGCAAGCTGAAGCCCCAGCTGGACTCCCTCGTGGTGATCGTGTGCGGGGGAAACAATATCACATTGGCCCAGCTGCAGCATCTCAAGTCTCAGCTGAGGATCTTGAATGCTGGGGAGCAGTGGGATGATGACGTAGAAGAGAGCCATGTTGCGATGGCCCTGTGGTCTTCACAAACCAGAGGTGGTGTTTTTCGGGCTTCATTCCAGACACACCGGCCACCCTGTGCTTATTAAAACTCAGTTGCCTCATGCTGTCTTCCTTCCTTGGCTTCTGTCTTACACAAGGGTGTGCAACAGGGAACAGTGGCCTGGTGTCTTCTTCCTTAAAGTTGGTTGGATCACCAATCAAGAGGGGGCTGGCACTAGGCCACTGTCAGAAGATGCCTGGTCTTCAACCATTGAGTAGGGTTGAAGACCAGCTGCCCAGTGTGATGACTATGCAAAGTGTTCTCCTGGCTTTGGAGACTATCCCTTAAGTCTGGCTTCTGGTTCTTCTTGGACAGGAAGAAGATAGAGCTTCCTGTTCCAGTTGAAGCCTACCACTAGCAATTTCCTCCTAGGGGACTTTTTTCAGATCAGAAAGTTTGGGCAACCAGGAAGGTTCCAGAGGAATGGAAAGGTGTGTACCAGAAAATCCTCTCTCCCATGGCTTGAGTCTCCCTGGCTTCCCACTCTCCCATTCAATCCCAAGGGAAAACAATGGAAGGAATGCCTCCTGGGGGGCCTTTTAAATACAGGGAGTCCCCGGGTTAAGAATGCCCAGGTTACAAATGACCCATAGTTAGGAACGGAGCCCATGGTAGCAAAATTTGAGTTAAATACACAATGGTTCACGTTCATTACCCAATACTATTTATACAATATTGTACAATAATACTGTTCCGGCTTGCATGCAAATTCAACTTAAGGACAGACGTTGGGAACAGAACTCGTCCTTAAATTGGGGAGTACTGATATTAGTGCTACCAAGGTCACAAAAGGGCGAATCTTGTCTTTGAGAAATCCCTGAAATAATTCTGAGATGAGATCCACCAAAGGGGGTGATTTGAAAAGACCATCTGTGTCCAGCTTTCGTTATTCATGTTTTCCTTCAGTAGCCAATAGCCCCCAACCTTCCTTCCTCAGATCTGTAATTCATTTCCCCATACACCGTAGTATGCCTTTTTCTCTAAAGCTTCTCCTGGCGCAGACAAATGATTAAAAAAAAAAAAAAGCCCTGGTAATTGTTAATTTAAGTCTTGTATTCCAGATCTACCTCCTTAAGAAAGTCGAGCTAACCCTCTCTATGTGCTGAGGCTCCCCCCTGCCCCAAATCATGGGTAAATTGGCTCCAGTGGGGTCTTTTTTAAAAGAAAGACAGCTTAGATGCAGCCCTAAACCTGGGTAGTTTTCAAGAACATGTCACAGCGATGCGAGCCAGAAACAAGCAGACGGGGAGCCTATTAGAGGAACCAGGGAAGGGGAAAAAAAACTGCCTATTTGCTAAGATACAATGGAGATTGTCCTTGATTTCCACTCCTTGTTCATCAGCGTGAACGAGTTTCTCTTTGTCAGAGGACTGAAATATCTTGGAGTGCTTGGCCTTATGGGGTGGCTGTGTGAAAATTGCAACTCCCATGGCACGGTGCCAGGCATCACAAAAGAACAAACTGTACGGTGTGGGTGAAAACATCACTGCCAGGGAAGGCAAATGCCATTCGGTGGAACAGGGGAAAAACCCGTTCGGTTTGCAGAGAGTGCAACAGGGATTGCACTGCAAAACAGGGAAGATTCGGGCTGGGTTGGCTCAGCCCCTGGGAGCAGAAAGAGGAGTGTCAGAACCTGCATCGATCAAATGTCAGTTTAAAAAGCTACAGCAGTCCATGGGTGTTGGCTTGATTTGATTCTGCCATTTGTATCGGGGGGGGGGATGGTCGTTTATAGTTGTGCGTGGGATATTGCTATGAGATATTTCAGTCC